TTTCCGCAGCAAGAGTAGGACAGATAATAGACCCTGCAACCACATCGAGTGTCGTCATATCTGATCCGATGCTGACGGGATTCTCGAGACGATTCCAGGGCGGATTAGAATCACCGTCTTCCATGGCCGAGGTGGTAATTCCTTGCAACTACACATCATCAATGGTGGGGCTTGAACTGTAGGACAGGACCAGCACAAGCCATGGCGATGTGGTTGATGGAAAAATGCTGTTTTCGCTCTTTGTTTCGGTGCCGTAAATGTAATGAACACCCGAAATTTGGCTGGGTCCAAAGTTGGGGGGCTGTGTTGAGGGGACCTTGAGGCAGCTTCTGAAACCTTTGGTCTTTGCAACTTGGGAAGCACTATGGCTATGCTCTGGCTGGTGGAAGTGGCGTCAAGGGATTCACCCAGCGATCTACCTCAAATTCTGAAGATGAGTTGAAATCGAACCACTGCAGACGCGGGCTGGCAGGACACACACACGCAGTACTTGTCTTAAAATAGCAGTGCATCCTTCTCACTAACTGTGGGCCGATGTTGGGTCATGTAAGCAACAGGGATCATGGCTGCAGCCTCCAGGATTCGTTGAGGAAAGAATATGCTGACGCCGTGTCGACCGTTTAACAATTTTTTTCCGCTTGAGCTTTTCGGCCCCTGGACCGCCGTCAATATCCTCTCCTGGAGATATTCCGCCATAAGCCAGACAACTTTTCTTGACTGTTGGGCTATCATGAGAGAGTGTGCATTTGTGCTAGGCCACTGGGGCAAAAGAGCTCTCTCACACCAGCGCCATGCTGGTAGTAAAGGGGACGAACCAATCCAAACCCCCCAACAGCCCCCCACAGACACGCAACTACCATCTTGGCTAGCTGAGAACCAGATCTGTCTTTGTTCTACCTCCACTGCCAACTTTTTCTTAGTGCTAGTTTGTTTTGGTCCAGGGATTCAGAGTGACTAAGCACTTTAATGTCCGCGCCCGGTAAGGACTGTGCATTAGGGCCTGTTCAGTGCGTCCGTACTTTTTGAACGCAATAGTGGATCTCATTAAAAATAGCGTATTTACCAATTAATTAGTAGCAAGCTGGCGTTGCGCCATCACACTATTCCATAATTGAGATCACTCCATGCTTGCTTTTTAATTTCACATTCAACACAGATGTGTTGAGATCATATTCTCTCAAATTCATGATTGATTTGTCTATATTTTAATCCTTATTATTAGCTAGAATTCATGAAAACAATGAATAAAAATGTCACAGTATGATGTCTCAATGCAATATTTGAATATAAAAAATGACAATACTCAAACCTTTACAATTTCAATCTCATCAAATCAGTGATCAAATTCTCAATTATTATTTTTTCAAACATTCTTTTAAATGCACTTTGAAATATTATTTTATCAAACATTTACTATCTCTTAAAAGTGAACACCTGCTATTCAAATTAAATAACTCAGAATATTATGAAATTCCATGATGAAAAAAAACTCTGTTTACTGAATTCTTAAAGATGAAAAAGAAAGAATTGAATATAAATAATGACAACTTCAAATTTACAGATTGAAACCTTGTCACACAAACTGTCAAACAGTCAGCAAATCAGACAATAATCAAAAAAATATATGATAATCAATGAAAAAAAATTAAATGTATTTGAATGTTTTAAATGAGATATAAAAATCAAATATTTGACTGAATATACAATCACAGATATGAAATTTATATTAATAATAAAGAAATTATAAATGAATATTTCATTAAACATTCTGATTTTGAAATCTTTTAAAAATATAACTTTGAATTTCAAAAATTTATCAGAGAATTGTTCGATGACAAATTTATCATTGATTGATTTATGATTAAATATCATGCAATGATATCTGAAATGAGAGAATCTTCTGCAGTAAATTCAAAAATTGAAGATAACTCATCATCTTCTATAAAAAACTCATCAATATTTAGAAATATCAATCATATAAAAAAATATTCAAAATTAAAAAATATTGATGAAAATATTCAAAATCTAACTGCAGCTGTAAACAGCCCCCATCAGATTAATGTGCAGATTGAGATTGAAAGGGAAACTGAGTGAATTATTAAGTTATTTATAAATGAGATGCAGAATCTACTGATAGAAAATTGAAAAATTGACAATGAAATTTTTTATCAATAATATATTATAATTTCACATTGTTTTTTTAATATTTAAAAAGTTCAATTATATCTAAATTTAAAATATAATCTGATCTGCTGAAAAAAGTAATAATGGAAGTAATAACAGAAGTAGTGGTAAAAGTAATAGTAATAATAACACTTTTAAATCATTCTTTATACTTTATTTCTTTCAAAATAATCAAGAACATTGCTGAATTTCACTCAATATTACAAATAATGATTATGACAGATTAATATCTATTAATAATTAATTTACGCAATCAACTCCTCTTCTGCATCTACTTTAATGCACTCATTTATTATTTCCTTATTATATTATCTTTGTTTATTCTTACCTTTTTCGATTATGTTCTCACTACCGCTATTTCTATATATATATATATATGAATGTATGTATTTCACACATCTTTTTTTCTCTTTCTTTTTCTTCTTAGCAATTAGTTACTACTACTACTACTATTATTATTATTACTACAATTACTATTGTTATTATCATCCACTACGCTATCTACTATCTTTCACTATTCACTCTTCCCACTGTCATCACCTCTCACACTACTCGTCCCTGTTATTGCGCTCCGCGCTTGTGTAGTCTCTAACGATTCTTCCGCGTAACCTCTTCTGCCTCACGCTTCGCGCTCGCGTAGTTCTAACGATTCTTCCGCGTAATTCTTAATGTTCTTCCGCTCCATGCTCCACTGTGGAGCGGCTTCTGATATTCTTCCGCTCTGATCTCCTCTTTATAAGAACCCTCTTCGTACGACCTTTTCTTCTGATCTCTTTTCTCTTTCTTTTCTTAATCAATTCGTAATCTGTATTTAGAATAGTGCTAGATCGTTAATGGAAGTACGCTCATTACAATGATGAATTACACTTACAAACACTTATTTTAAACATCACAACTTTTTGTGTGAGATGGTTAAATAATTTAAAACATTTTATTGACTTATAAATTACATTGTGACATAATATACAATGAATACATTATTATATTACCATTTTATATTTTTGAAAGTGGAATTATATTTAGAATTCAACTATTTTTATTAAGATACATGCAAGCAATCTTGATCCATACATCAATTGCATATGATTTGTTGATTAATCTTTCATATATTTAATATATCTCTTATAGAATTTCCACATTTCCTCTGCAATATGATTTCTTCTTTTAATCATCTCATCATCATTCTCTCTTTCATTCATTATATTCAACTGTTCTGATTTCATTTCATCATTCAAATTTTTCAGATTAATATCGTTTAGATCTTCATATTTATTTATGAAGTTATGAAATGGTGTTAATGTGAAAATAAAATTGATTTGAGTGGTAATGAAAAATTCATCTCTTCCTCAATTGTATATTTGAAATCATCATTTAAATACTCTGAAAACTCATTTAATTACATTCTGTAAACTGATTTACTGAACATTGAATAATTTTTTTTTATTAGCAAATCATTTACCTTCTTTTTTAAACTTCTTGAAATAATATCACACATCAAAATAAAGAATTAATATTATGAAAACTCTTTTGAAATAATCAGTATCTGCAAGAAAATAGCAGGGTTTCTTTACTGAAAAATTATTATATTCTTAAATTGAATTAAAATCACATGTATCATAAGCAAAATCTTTTATTTCAAAGTATATATATATAAAATTCATCTTAAAATCACACATTGTCAGAACATTTTGTGAGATCCATTCTTTTCAATTTCATCAATCAAATCGCTGATTAGAAGAAATGAATATTGAAAGATGAGTATTATTTAAAGTTTTAATACAATCTTTAAAGAATGATCATTGTTTAGAATTGCCACTGAGCAAGTCTTTATTATATTTTATGAAAGGTTTTGACAATTGTACAAGCTGGCTGTAAAGCATACAAAGTGCTTTCAACATTTCATGACATATTTTATATAAAATAAATGAGTATTTTCAAAACAATAAAAATCATATGATGATTATATGAAAAGTTAATTCTTATTTTAAAATTATATTAAATGAATGCTTAAACCTTTCCACAGCATTTCAATATGAAGATTTTTATGCAATAATATAGAGAAATATCATTGCTTTCTCTTTCATCTTTATCACATTTATAACATCAGATTTAGATATAGTTGTATATTTTTTGAGAAAAATAATAAATTAATTATGGCGTACGCCGTTCAATTGGTAGGATAATTCATGTCTGAGTTTTTCTAATCTAGAAGGGTGGGCGAACGCCTCTATATATATACGTAGTCATCCCGTCAGCGATCCAATCCAGAGGAAGGAGCGATCGCAGCTTACGGGAAGAATAGGAGGAATAATAATGCAGGGGCGGAAGGAGCAAGGCGGAAGGGAGACTAGGGGCGGAACGCCATATTGCATGAATATTTCTCAATAAAGATGTGTGATATTTTTAATATAATTAAAGTGAATATTTGAATTCAGCAGCTAAGCAATATACAAAATATTAATGAAAGATTTTTCATATAATACTTTTTTTTATAATATCAAAAAGGTTCTCATCATCAGATTCATGATTACAAATAATTATTGATGAGAATTGATATACTGTTGAATTGTGATTTGTAGAGTTTGTTTATTCATTTTATCATTTTATTATTGATTATTTTTCATATTAATCTTCATTGATCAATTTTCTGTATGATAAAGAAAGAAGTTTGTAAAAATGTGTTTTTTTTGAATTGATTTTGAATTTCATTTAAAAAAAATATGTTTTTGCAAGCTTCTTTCTAATCAATATTAGTTAACTATCTTCACTATGAATGCTATTCTATGCTATTCTACATTGTCACACACTGTTGAAGTTAAATACTGTTTATTCATATAATCTTGATGAAATATCTAAGTATAATCATTCAATTCATTGAACATCTGATCTTTTTCATCTGCACTTTGTGCTGTAATATTAGTACAGTCACTCTGCCCACTGAACAGTCATCATATTAAGCTGTACTTTTTAAAAAAAAGTGGAGATCTGTACAAAAGAACAAGTATACACAGTCACATTGACAGGTATTTATTGCTAATTTGTTCTAATTCAGAGATTCACAGTGACTAAGTACTTTAATGTCCGTGCCCGGTAAGTTACTGTGCATTAGTAGAATAGGACTTTTTTATTTGGATAATCTCTGATTCGAACCTGTGATAGCATGTTGGCACATCCTGCAGCGATTGCGCTGACACAGGCCTCATAACCTGTTATGCTCTCTCACACCAGCGCCCCAACAATCTGTAGATCTAGTAAATCACGTGTCATAATATTAGCAGTCACGTGGATCATTCGGACTGGGTTAGCCGATGAATTGCCGGAGCAAACCTTACCAAGCCATATCAAATTGACGATTACAGTTTGCGATATGCCGCATATTAATCAGCTACTCGAATAATCATGGTTGCTTCGTGTTTGTTTTATTTGGAAGTATTTAGATTCGCTGCATTGGAAGGAAGACACTATTAGTCGCCAAAATCCATTCTTTTGATGCACCATTGATGCATCATTGATGCGCAGATGAAGGTGCAGATAAGATGTCCGCATCCACCAGCCCTCCCCCGAAAGGAGTTCCAAGGGATTATCATTCAGTTCCTATTTCCACTGGCACCCGTCCTTATAGATCTCACAAGATTCGTGCGTGTGATTTATGCCGCAAAAGGAAATCTCGATGTACAGTCGATCTGCCGGGAGAATCATGTCTTCTTTGTCGCGTTCAAGGCGCTGATTGCCACTACCGTGAGGGTCCCATAAAGCCCATTACAACTCGGTTTTATGATCGAAATTACGAGCAGAGTGCTGGAGGGAGTGCAGTCCCGCTCGGTGGATCGCAATCCCCGCAAAAACGACAACCGACCCATCAATCGCCGAGCTTCTCAGGGGTGCAAACATTGGCAGATGAGACACCCAGCCCAAACTCAAAGTCCGGTCCGCAAGGTGACAGAAAAGCTGGACATAGCTCTCCACGCGCATTTGAAGAGCCATTTGGTGAATCGGTCCATATCGTTGGGCCAGTTGCTGCTGAGGATGCTCAGGTTATTGAGCGATTCATGCCATCGGAAAACTCCAAAAAACGACCAGATGCTAAGACTCCATACAACGTTTATTCCAATGACCCTAAGAAACCAATCCTTTATACTACGGTGTCAAGGCGCAGACAAGGTCTACGAACAACTGGGATTCCTGGTGAGAGCCAGAAAGAAATTCTCGAACAGATTCTTGGCCCGTTTAAGCACGATTTAGTAAAAATGTATGCAAGGCTTCCAATATTGTGTGCCATCTGGGCTTTTCTCTAATTCGGCTCGCAAAATTAGCTTTCTGGACAGAATAAATTCTTCATTCCTCATCTTTGATGAGGCTTCCTTCCTGGAATCCTATAAATCGGACAATGGAAGCCTACCACCCGCTGTGATGTGCCAGGTATATGCCCAGTCCCTTATATACTGGGGTCAGTCTCAAACTCTAGCACCACATCCCAAACCAGATATTCGATACGCTGTCAATCTTGCAGTTGCTGCATTGCATGAGGAGTTTTCTGCGCCAGGGTTATCAACATTGAGTGCTTCTTTGATAGACCTAACAGGCAGGCCGATTTTCTCCATGACCGGTAATGCAATTAACAGCGGTCGGACAGTGGCCCTTTCTCACATCCTTGGCCTCAATCGTGACCCGAGTAGTTGGAAACTCTCACGTGCTGAAAAACATCAGCGCATTCGCTTGTGGTGGGGTGTTCTCATTCATGATCGGTGGTAAGTTATATTGATCTCCATCCCCACTAACTGTAAAACTGAAAGAAGGTATAGGGCGAGCCACGGGCATGGCGTTCCTCCACAAATTAATAAAAACCAATATGACGTACCACTTCCTACGGTCCAAGTCCTAGTACATCAAGGGAACCTTAACCCTCAAAGGATAAAGGCAGCGGAATGTTATATTGCGTTGTGCCAGCTCACCGAGACGTTAGGTGATCTACTCCCACTGATATACGGATTGCAGCCAAAATCCCAAAATGAAACCTCTAAAACACTTCGAAAATTACGGACAAATTTGGATACGTGGGAAGATTCACTCCCTGAATGGCTGAAGTGCTCCCCTGCAGATTCTCTGACCCCTGTTTCGGGATCCAGCAGCTTATATCTCGCTTGGCTGACTTTGAAAATGCTCATTTGCCGGGTTGAATTACAGGTGACGTCCTCCTTCAACTCCTCGAATGTTGGATCGTATGTGAGAACCTAACTTCTATGCGCTTGTAGGAGGTCAATAATTCAGATAGCCCGACCAATCCTGAAGGGCGGCAGTATTTCCAGACTGAATGCAGGAGAGCAGCAGAAGATGTAGTGGGATTCATGATTTCATTGAAACGACTTAATTTCGACGAATTCTGGCTTCCTTGTAAGGAATATTAGGGGATCTTCATGGACAAAAAAAACATATACTTATATTGGGATGCAGATAGCGCTTATCATCTCACATCAACCGCGACACTTTTGGTCCGATGTGCCCTCGAAACGTCCGACTCAGCCATCGCTCGATCTTGTCTATCTAAGGTAGACGTACTTCGTGATGCACTCTACCGAGCCCGAGTGGAGTACGACTGGGATCTTGCCGATATGTGTCTTGATCATTGTGAACGGATCTTGACCAAGCAACGGGGAATTACTTCAGATGATGCACCAGGTGTCGACCAAACCAATCAAACCCCGGATCCTGCTTGTTCGCTTCTCCCAGATACACTAACGCAGAATGACATTGTCAACGATATGATGTCAATCTCCGGCACGTTTGGTACAATGGATGGGTTCCCGTTTGATATGACTGGAATTTGGGATGTGTCCGGGTGGCAAGATGACTTTGGGTGAATCTGGAGAACAGCGCGGGGCTGACAAACGTAACCCTCTTTGATTCAGTATTGCTCCTATGGCAGTTTCGACGAACTTAGTTGCCGCGATAAAAATGAGACTTTCATCAAAATCATGTCGCATTCCAACGGCTGTCCATAAACATAATCATAATGACAGTCGGGTTATTGAGCGGAATGAACTCCTCGCCGAGGAGAATTCTAGTTTCCCGATCGATGGCCCTCCCATTTTTGGGTTTCCCGACGGGCTCGTGTTTCTCTAACCAAAGAGACTTCCCCTCATGAGGGGGCGGTTATGCAACGGTTATACAGGGTCATACTTTATAAAGCAACATATCCTCTCCAGAAGTATATGGAGCTTACTACTCCTTCAATTGACATCCAGCCCTAGCAGAAATCACCATTCTACGACTTGCAATACTTAAACATATCACCATATTACGTACAGCTTGGCTTCAATAAGGTGTCCCCAACAGCTCGCTGCAGCAAAATTCAAACCCCCACAATGAGTCCAAGTGTCAGTGACATTAACAGCCACTTAGTTTCTAAGACAAAACCAGTGTCTGCGGAGAATGTCCCAAACCAACAATACACGTATTCAGCACTGCCAAACCTGAAACGGGCGATTGAGAAGGCAGGGGCCGATTTCAGGTCCGATGTTTCGACGGTCCCTACGGAAAATATGATGCAGGTGAGGAAAGCTGCCTTGTCCCCGGACAAAGGCGTGAGATTTTCAACAATATTTTTGGATTGAAAGGGCAACAATCTCCTTGAGCTGGTTATGCATTTGTCTTCTCAGCAGTTTCGCGTCATTTCGTTCGAAGAACTAGTACCAATGCTACGAGCGGGATGTATTGAACGTTCAGTATTACTTTAAACTAATATTACTGGCAAAATAGGCAATTCTCGAAGCTTCAGTCGGCGATGATATATACGACGAATTTGGCGATGTGTCTGTCAACTCTCTTCAAAATAAGCTCATCGAACTTACAGGCAAAGAAGCCGCGCTCTGGGCGCTTTCGGGAACGATGGGAAATCAAATTTGCTTCCGGACACACTTGGTGCAGCCACCACATACAGTTTTGCTCGATCATCGAGCTCATGTTTATTGCTGGGAATCGGGAGCTCTACCGGCATTGTCACAAGCTTCTGTGGCCCCCGTTATTCCCAGCAATGGAGTACATTTGACACTGAGTGATGTGAAGAAGAACATGGTCTCAGGCGGTAACCGTGGGTTTACCTTTATATCTCTTCATTTTAATCTTTTTAATACTCACCTGCTTCATCTCCAAACATACCCAAAATCTCCGTAGACCGAAAATATCATTGGCTAACCTCGAGCTGCCACAGTTCACTTCCCACCAACTAGAGCTGTATCACTTGAGAACAGCCTCAGCGGCACCATCCTCCCGTTAAAAGATGCCAAAGAAATATCAGCCTTTGTCCGCTCCTTTCCTGTCCCGGAAGGGCAAATGCCTGTTGCCATGCACCTCGACGGAGCCCGACTATTTGACGGCATTACAGGCGAAGGAGTCGATGCGAAAGAATACTGTGCTTGTTTCGATAGCATCAGTATATGCCTTGCGAAAGGCCTAGGGGCACCTATGGGCAGTATAATTCTCGGATCCCGAGCGTTCATTGAGCGAGCGAAGTGGTTTCGGAAGATGTTTGGAGGTGGGACAAGACAGGTATTCGTTTTACTGAATTTATGTATTTGGTTATGCCACATTTGTAGCTGTATTGCATCCAATAATTTTTCCAAGGAGGAAAAATTCCTTGAATAAATAACGCCAAAAAACACCCCCTCACCCTTCTCCGAGATATATACATTTCCTCCATGTCGTTCAGAACCCTAACATTTCCTTGTCAATACAGCCCGGCATGATGGCCGCCGCCGCCCAAGTGGCTCTAACAACTTCTATCCCCCAATTACCCCGCGTCCACGCCCTAACAAAGTCCACCGCCTCTAAGCTTTCCGCATTCGGCTACAAATTCCAACTACCCGTCCAAACCAACATGATCATTGTAGACCTTGAGGCCTCCAATAACATCCCTCCCGCGGCTTTCGTGAGTTATTGCGCGGCGCAGGGGTTACAGGTATTCCCGTCTGGAAGGTTGGTGTTTCATTATCAGACGTCCGAGAAAGCAGTTGGCAGGCTTGTAGGTGCTTTAGAAAAGCTTATGACGGACAAGAAAGGGGGAAAGGCGTTGGAAAGCGAAGAGATCAAAGGGGGTTATTGTACGTGAGGATGTGGAAAGGAAGTGGGTGAGTTTTTGGACATTGGAGACCGGCGTTCTCTCGATAATGAGGAACGCATTGGTGTATCTAACAGTAAAATTTCCTTGAAGTTTGGTGCGAAGCGGCTATTCGTAGTAAAGTTGATCGGGGATAAAAAATTTTCTAATAACTAGCATTTTGAGTTATATATGATAGCTGCATACATGAATTTCTAGTCCATACCAAGGAGTGGGGTACTGGGAGCATCACGAAGAAAGGAGTAAATAGAAGAATATAAATAGATAATGCAAGCCCATGTTCTTCAAATGATATACATTTATATATTAGATACAAACAAGAATAAATTAAATGGGACTGGGAACTCGGTTTGTTCCCCGGCCCTAAGTCTCACACCACCACCTCTTCCACCAGAAATTATGCATGTAAAAAGAAATAAAAATGTATCTAGGACGGAACAACGAAGGAGGAAAAAACAAAGAATAGGAAAATAACATGGTAGGTAACCCTAACCATACATATATCGCAAAAAGACAGGGGAAAAAAAAGGCAGCGTTGGTCTGAAAGAAGGGACATGACTGTCATGAGAGAGGAGAGAAAGCAGGGTAAAGAAAATCTAGATGTCAAATGAGCTAGAAAGTTAGGTTGTTGGAGCGTAGCCTTGGGTGGGCTAAGATGGGGCCGAGGTGAAGTGTTGTCCGCCCTATCCGGCTCTCAGCGGTCGATAGGGGAGTGATAACGAAGGCCAAAAGGTTAGAGGAGAAAGGCAGTAATATTTCGAGGTATCCACGATTGGCTTTGCATCTTTTTTTGCCATTGGCGTACGCATCACAACGAAAAACGACTTTCGATGATTCGGAATCCTTTCTTTCGAGGGAAAGGTCGGAAATTTGTTACGGAATTGAGATCATTTCTTCGTCTGGTCATTCCCGCCAAATCCGAACAACCCAGTAAAACTGTTCCGCATCCCATTCATCTGTTCCTCCCTCAATTTCTCCTCCTCTGCCGCCATTTCCGCCAGCCACTTGTCCCCATTCTCCCGAATCTCTTTCTCAAGCAGCGCATAATTCTTCTGACCCCTCTCGCGAATTTGATCCCACAACATCTTGCCTTGCTCCAGACCAGCAGCCGGATCAACACCGTCGGTCGTTGGAGGTGTGGGCTTGATGCCCAGGAGAGATGCAATGCTGCTGACGCTGTACTTGGGTTTCCTAGCGCGCTCTTCACCCAGCTCCTTCTCAAACTTTTCTCGCATCAATTTCTCGCGTCGGGCAAATTCAAGAGGGATGTTGGTATCCTTAAAGGATTTGATGACTGGCCGTACATCTTCGACACCCATGCTTGCAACGTATTCGAGAAATGGTATGAGAGCTACAAGTTCCTTGTCGCGGGGGTCACCCTTCCATTTGTCAAGGATTATGGCGTTCTCAGGTTGTCGTTTGGCGTGGGGAGCGTGGGTATCGATCATAATAACTTTTGAAAGGTCTCGGTTCAGGTACGAAAGATCCTGGAAAATTTGTTTAGTTATAAAATTTGGAAATACTAGAAAAGGCAAAAAATAAGTGAATACCTTAACGTGTTCACCATCTTCGTACTTGGTTGCTTCTCGGAATAAGACCCATCGAATGATCCGAAAAGGATCGAGCTTCCGGTGCACCTGGTCGGCCATCATACTGGGAACGCTAGTAAAAAGAACCAACTCATAATACTGATTGAGATACCGAAGAAAATAGTCAACCCCGGGCCGCTTAGCCACGCGATACCCATGTTCCCGCGTCCATTCACTATGGACCAAAAGATCTTCTAAACTAATAACCAGCGTATAAGGCTGTCGCATTAACGGGTCATCATCTGGGAGAAGTTTCTCGAATGCTGGATCCTTATAGTAACTTGTGATATCAGAGAAACGAGCTTTGATGCGGGCGAAAAAGAGCCCGAATCCCCAACCGGAGGGCGCATCCTTATGAAGCTTCTCCTCCTCTTCCGTGTCCCAATCGCGGCCTAAGAATATTGTGGCCCCCACGCAACTTCCCAGAAACAAGGCGTACACAATACTGATGACTCTGTTTCGTCGGCGTTCGGTCGATGACACATACGGGTTTTTGGGGACGTCTCCACCTGCACCGCCCTCGGTATCTTCCTCCGTGAGGTTAAGGCTGGTTGGACCACGATGTTTTGAACGAGCTTCAAACTCCTTCGCTATGGTAGAAGGGATGCCTCGGGTGAGGTCTGGAAGGGGTTTTTGAGACTCAACCTTCGGAGAAGCAGCGGCCGTCTCAAACTCCGGTTGACCGTTCGAGAAATCGGATTGTGGATCGGAGCTCCCACTCCGGGCTCCTGCTCCTGAGTCAACAGCATCGGGAGCGGTACGCTTCTGAGATTCCCCGCTTGATTCAGATTCCGGCCGGATTTCCGAAACTTGCCCTTGTTTGGGAGGAACCGCATTGGACGAATGCGAAGGGGGTGTGGTGGATGCTTTGAAATTTGAAAACGGAGCCCCAGGAGCTTTGCCGCTATTACTGGCGAAATATCGCAGATGTGCAGGGGGATATGTGAAGGAGGACGCCCGAATAGATAGCGGAACGGCACGAGGCCTCAGCAGAGGCAGCACAGCACGGCTGAGCATGCTGGTAATACTCTTTACACCAATGTGAAAAATATGAAAGGTACTCTATATTCTCATATTCGATCCGCAAATCATATGAGAAACAAGACCTGGTCGTGCGTTTTGCCTCTGCGGGAGTTTGTGCCGAGAGGAGAGAGACTATCATTATCATGATTAATCATTTTTCAAGAAAACCCGCAAAAAAAGCTATGCTCAAATCCCTGAACTACGGGAGAGCCGATAGACCGAGAATGCAACCTTCAGATATTGCTTAGTCAACTGCACCACGCTAAAACCTCCTTCAATTTTTTCTGTTCTTTTTTCCTTTCCTTTTCCCAACCTATTGAAAGTTGAAACCCAGCGGAACGAAATTTGACTCTGTGTTCATCCATTGTGCATGGGGTTGTAGATGCCGGGGAGATCAATGCTCCGTCCGTCGTGCCACCCCAAGAACGTCAGCTATGATTTTCAATGAAGTCTGTGAGCTGTTCTGTTCCGTTGGCATCGATATACCAAGCCCACAACAGTTGGCGTGGCATTGTTGCTTTATGTTCTACAATCCGATTTGTATAGATCTACTATATAGGAACTATGCATCTCGTCTTTTTGTTTCTCCTCATTCTCCCTCCGTACCCTAGTTACTTGTATGGTATTGCTCGGAGCTATTAGAGTAGAGATGAGAAAGCGTGTCCTGCTCCCTCTTGAGGATAACATGAGGCCTTCAGGCAATGATATGACCTTGGTATATTTACAGTAATAACATCTACTGTGGCAACTGGTATCCATAGCTGTAAGTGTTGTCGTGCATACAACTGTGCTTAGATCAGCTTGCCTTCATGTAATTTTGTTTCTATTTCTTTAATCGAGAAGTTAAAACCTGCCCATCCATCCATATTCTAAGACAGGTGGACCAAAAATTCAAGGCCGTGAGACCTCCCACTTCCTATACTAGTCGTTTCCAGCAGAAGAGGTGGGGGAGAATGAAACTAGAGATAATGATAGCCTGATATTACACGCTGAAGAGAAAAGGAAAAGTAGAAAATTGAACATAAAAACGATCAAACTTCATAGTTCCTCTTCCACATCCATCAACTCACTCTGCATCCCATTTTTACTCGTTTCTCGGGCCAAGGAAGCTTCCTTATCGATCATCTGTCGTGAAACCGCGACGATGTTATCTTCGATGAGCTGCTGGGCTACGTCTTCGATGTCTGCATTTATATCGCCAGGAATCAGCTTATTAGCGAGACTAGACATTAGAAAAAAAAAAGATAAGATGACATAACACTAACGTTTCTTCGGATCGACCTTTCCAACATATCGAGTTTTCAATTGATCTTTCGTCAACTCCGTCTCCCCCTCTCAGAGGGCTTAGCATAGCCTTCAGCGAGGCTGACGAGTTCCTAGTGTGTCAGCTTCCACGTTCTGTCCGCTTCCAAT